GGAGAGGGGCGATGGGGAGGGGGGCATGGCCCTGATACTAGGGTGAGGGGCTGCAGGGAGAGCCCCAGTGCCAGGGTGACAGGCTGCAGGGAGGAGAGGGGGCTGCAGGGGGGAGACATAGCCCCAGCACCAGGGTGAGGGGCTATGGAAGGGTGGCATGGCCCTGATGCCAGTGTAAGGGGCTACAGGAGGGAGGCATAGGCACAACACCAGGGTGAGGGGCTGTAGGGAGGGCCCTGATGCCAGGGTGAGGGGCTGCGGGGGACTCAGCCGTGTCTCTCTCCCCAGATCATCTGCCTGGACCTGGCAGAGGAGATGGCTCTGCCCAAACTGGAGTCCTTCAATGGGTGAGTGTTGGGAGTGGCCCCAGAACTCCTGGGGACCTTGGCTCTGCTGTCCCCAACTGGCATGGGGACTGGTGAAGTTGAGGACCTCGGTGACACTGGTCCCCACTGAGCTGTGTCCCGCACGCAGGTCCAAGACCAACGCCCTGAACATCTCCCAGAAGATGATCGAGATGTTTGTGAGGACAAAGCACAAGATCGACAAATGCCATGAGTTTGCACTGGTGGTGGTCAACAACGACGCCACGTGGGTGAGCGGGGACTGGGACAGGGACCAGGACAGGGACGGGGACGTCTCTGCCCCCTCCTCACCTTGGCCCCTCTCAGCTCTCAGGGTTCACCTCGGACCCCCGCGAGGTCTGCAGCTGCCTCTATGACCTGGAGACTGTCGTCTGCAAGTCCTTCAGTATCCCACCACCCATGGGGCTGGGGGGGGCACCCCATGGGATCCCTTGGGTGCAAATGGGATCCCTTGGGTGCAAATAGGATCCCTCACGTGTAAACAGGGACCCTCTGGGCCCATTGCCTGCAGATGGCAGCAGTCCTCTGGCCTCGCTGGCATCCCCATCACCAGGGGTTAATGCTGGCCTCTCCAGCTCCACCGAACACCCATTTTTGGGCGTTTTCTCCCCATTCTGGTCCATCTCGGTGTCCAGCTGCTGGGATTGGGTGCAGGACATCCCTGGGGGCAGGCAGGGGTCTGTGTGCTGGGATCAATCCTTACCTGGGGCTCCAGATCTGGAAGGGCTCTTCAACCTGATGTGAGTACAGCTGGGCTGGGGCAATGGGCGGGTTGGGGCTCCCACCCTGGCTACGAATTTTCCACTTTTCTATAAAAACACTGCAAGCTTTTAACCCAAACAGCCATTAGGGTGGGTGGAGGTGTCTCTGCGCCATGAGGGGGGTATCCCTGAGCCTGGGAGGGTTCCCTGAGCCCGCAGGGGTTGCTGAGCCACCCCCCTGGTGCAGCCAGCAGAAGATCGAGCTGCCGGTGACGGAGAACGTGCAGACCATCCCGCCCCCCTATGTGGTCCGCACCATCTTGGTTTTTGGCCGCCTGGGCTGCCAGCCCCAGTTCTCCATGTCAGAGCACATGAAGGTAGGGATGTCCCCCCCACCTCTGCGTCCCTGTATCCCCCCACACCCTGGGAAAGCTCCAGGTCCATCGCAACTCCTCCCGCAGAAGATGCTGCAGTGCCCCTACTTCTTCTTCGACGTGGTCTACATCCACAACGGGCTGGAGGAGAAGGACGAGGAGACGAGCTGGAAGGTAAACGCGGTTTGGGGCGTCCTCCCCATGATTGGGGCCTGTCACCCCCACGTGTGTGTCTCCCCCCAGGAGATGTATGCCTTCTTCAGCAGCCTGGACACCAAAGGCACGAACTACAAGTATGAGGTGGGGCTGGCAGGGCCGGCACTGGAGCTGCACAACTGCATGGCCAAGCTGCTGGCGCACCCCCTGCAGCGCCCCTTCCAGAGCCACGCGGCCTATGGGCTGCTGGGGGATGACGACCTCCCCGAGAGCGAGGCCACTGTCTGAGGCGGGGTGCTGGCCTGTTTCAGGGGGGAATGGATGGTTTTGGGGTGGCTGGGGGCGGCCCTGTGGTGTTATCGGAGACTGGGTGGAAAAAAAGCTGTTGTTTCTGGAGTCGGTGTTGTGCTGCGATGCTGGGAGGCAAGACCTGGGGGGGGAGGAAGGGGAGGTGGTGTCCCTCTGTCCCCCTCAGCCATGGGAATGGGGAGTCCTGTGTGTGGCGGTGCTGGAGCTGGAACCCCAAGGGGCAGCTGGGTGCACGGGGCAGGATGGTGGTCTGCGGGTGAACAGTGGGGCAGGGCAATCGGAAGGGCTGGGGAGGGTTACTGGGTGACAGTGGGTGATGCTGTTGCAATTACTGGGATGCACTGGGTGGACCTGGTGCAGTTACTGGAAGTCATTGGGTGGAGCTGGTGCAGTCACCGGGAGGCGCTGGGAGCCCTGGTGCAGTTACGGGGCTGCACTGGGTGATGCCGGTGCCGGGCACTGGGCGGCGCTGGGGGGCGAGAAGCGGGACCAGCTGCGTC